GCCTCCCAGGGTCTTGCGTCCTTACCACCTGTCTCACTACGCGTTTTGATTGTACGAAACAAACCACAAACTAACAACCCGCAGCCTTTTTGAGGTCCAAACCCACGTGAGTTCCAGAGATGGCCGCCCCCGTGCCAACGCTTTCTGAGAACCTGGCGTGGGCGGCTGAGAGCGCCGGGTACTCGGCTGAGAAGATGGGCCACCTTGAGCTCCGCGCCATGAAGGGCTATCCCCTGAGCCACGAGGTCTGCCGCCTGATGATTGAGCAATTCCGTGAGTTCGATTACTAGGGCGACGCCGCCTGGCCCGTGAGACAGCTGAGGGACTTGGCAACCTACTGGGCGAGGTGCTTCCCGCTCTTTGTCGTGCCACATTTTTATTTTTATTTTTTGGAAAAAAATGAGGTGCGCGATGACCACGCACTCGGGCATGCTGAGCGGCCAGTGCCGCACCCGCACGAACACTCTCGTTGAGCCCCCCATGAGCCAGGAGTTCGTGCATGAGAGGGTCCAAGCCGCGGCCGGGGTGCTCATGTGGCAGGCCCTGAGGCGCCACTTGTGGTCGAGCGCGCGGAATCCCAAGATGAGGTAGAATGCCGTGATGATCCTGGGGTACTTGAAAATCGCTGAGGAGGCGGATCACGTCTGCCACAAGCTCGCGGCCCCGGCAACTGAGCAGCTCCTGCGCTTCAACACTGATGAGCTCTACGCCGCTGAGCCCCCGCGCCAGCAGCTGATTGGCGTTGTCTTCTGGCTCGGCCCTGAGCTCCATGCACTCGTTGAGCCCATTCAGAACGCCATCCAGATGAGGATTGCGGCGAGGCGCCGTGAGCTCCGGGCTGAGCTCTACCCGGGCGAGGGCGCGCAGGCTGAGGGCACCCAGACGCAGGCTGACGACATGGACGTTGGCACGCCGCGCTGAGGCTCTGAGGCGCTCCGAGGCTCCTCTTCTGCGGCCCCCCCTGAGGCGCCCTGAGGCTCTGAGGCGGTTTGAGGCCAATCCTGCTTTTTGTTGAGGCACGCCCGTGAGCTTCGCGCCACTCTGGGCCGCTGAGCGCTGCGCGCTGAGCGATGACACATACCCCTTGAGGCCCCTCGGCGGCTTGAGCAAAAATTGAAGCTCCTCTGGGGCCCCTCGGCGCCGCTTCCGAGGGAGGGGAGGGGGGATCTTCTGAGGGAGGAGCTTCGGAGGGAGGAGCTTTTGAGGGAGGAGCTTCTGAGAGGGGAGCTTCGGAGGGAGGAGCTTCTCAGGGGCAAGCTTCGGAGGGGCGGTCTTCCGAGGGAGGAGCTTCGGAGGGGGGAGCTTTTGAGGGAGGGGCTTCTGAAGGGGGAGCTCCCGAGGGGGGAGCTTCTCAGGGAGGAGCTTCGGAGGGGGGAGCTTCGGAGGGAGGGGCTCCTGAGGGAGGGGCTCGCGGGGGGGGAGCTCCGAGGGGGGAGCTGCTGAGGGCGGAGCATCTCAGGTTTTCCTTAGGTGTTCCTTTGGTTTTCCGTAGGTTTTCCTTAGGTTGTCCTTAGGTTCTCCTTGGGTTGTCCTTGGGCTTTTCCTTTTGTTTTCTTTAGGTGTTCCTTAGGTTGTCCTTAGGTTTTCCTGTGGTTTTTCCTTAGGTGTTCCTTCGGCTTTCCTTAGGTTTTCCTTAGGTGTTCCTTTGGTTTTCCTTTGGTTTTCCTTCGGTTTTCCTTAGGCTTTCCTTAGGTGTTCCTTAGGTTTTCAATAGGATTTCCTTAGGTTTTCCTTAGGTGTTCTTTAGGTTGTCCTTAGGTTTTCCTTCTGTTCTCTTCAAGTTTTCCTTGGGTTTTCCTTAGGTTTTCCTCAGGTGTTCCTTAGGTTGTCCTTAGGTTTTCCTTAGGTGTTCCTTAGGTTTTCCTTAGGTTTTCTTTGGGTTGTCCTGAGGTTGTCCTTAAGTGTTCCTTAGGTTTTCTTGTGGTTTTCCTTAGGTTGTCTTTCGGTTTTCCTAGGTTGTCCTTGCGTTCTCCTTAGGCAGTCGTGCATTTTCCTTAGGATGGACAAATCGAGGATGAAGTTTCTCACGGCCCTCGCGGGTTCCCTCCTTCCCCGTGGGGCCCGAGTTCCACGCGGAAAATATAATTTTCCATTCTTGCCGGGGTCCCAGTCCGTCAATAAGCCCGCGGGACAACCATATATTTGCGCACTATTGGGGGGGGGGTCAAAAGACCCTGTGGGGTCAGGGGGGGATATCATGGCGTGGGCCATGATGTTTCCCCAGATCTCATGGCGCCTCTTCTTATTTCATTACGTCCCTGGCCCCACCGCTGGGCCGCGCACGTGCCGCCGGTCCTGATTTGCACCCCCCCTCTTGGACACCCCCCTCTTGGCCGCTCCCGACTCGAGGTGGATCCAGCCGTGGCGACGTGCAGTCTCCAGAGCCGTCCTGGAGGGCCGCCGTTGTCTCGGCTGGCCCTCCTCAGAGCAGTGCGGCCTCCACGGCAGCAGGTCTGGTCGGACACGCCCAGGGAGCGAGGCGAGAGGAGTACTCCAGATTTCGTAATAAAGGGAGGGGGGTCTCATTTCGGGGGGGGGTCTCTTCCAGGCAATCTTGGAGGGCCTGGGGGGTCTGGGGGCGATGTTTTGGAGGTTTCTCCCACGGGGGAGGTCTGAAATGGCTTGTCTTGGAGGGTCCAGACCCCCTCCCTTTTATCACGAAATCTGGAGAAGCTGAGGAGCTCGTCCCGTCTGTGCTCGTCACGCTTGCGTCTCCATCTCTTTTCCTGTAGCTCCCGCTGCTGCCAGCTGCTGCTGAATGCGAGGGGAACGCGGCCTGGAAAAGCTGCTAAAACATTCCACATTCCGTAATACAAGAAAGAGAGGTGGTCGCAACCCTTCCAGCTGGGCAATGTTCGACCCCCCATCCCCCCAGACCGGCCATGAACAGGAGGCCGTTTGCCGAGACCCCCGCGAAACCCTCCCAAGACCGCTCAAATCAGACCCCCCCCAAAAGGCCCCTTCTCTTTTCTATGATGGGATCAGGAGCAGACTCGCTCGCCCTCCTCATGCCTCCTCCCGCAGTCTTGCCTTCCGCTCGCCTCGCTCCGCCCCCAACCTCGCTTCTTCCCTCCCCCCCTCCGCCGCTACTCGCCACTCGTTCCGCCCCCCTCGTTCTCCTCCCCCTCTTCTCTCGGAAGGCCCTGACAGAGTTTAGACATCGATCGAGCTTCTCTGTAACGGCGAAGGCTCGGCCACGCGCAGAGGGGGCAGGGGGAGGGGGGAAGGCTTTTTAGAAGCATCCCTATTTCTCAGAAGGCGCGGGCCTGGTCTGTAGATGTTGAGCCTGCGCCTTCTAAGAAGCAGCCTCTTAAGAACCCCCCCCTCCCCCCTTCCCCCCTCTGCGCGCCGCCAGAAGGCTGCCCAAGGTGTCTCTCCCGTAGATGCGTAGATGGATTGATCTTCATCCGCGAAGATCTAGTCCCCAGCGTCTGATCTATGCGTCTAGTCCCCAGCGTCTGATCTATGCTTGGGGCAACAGCCGCACGAAGAGCAGCACGATGAAAATGTTGCAGCTCGAGTGACCACGGGTCAGCGAATCCTTTTGGATTCTAGCTGTGTTTGGAGATTATGTGATGTAAAGAGAATGCGGACGACCCGTAGGAGGTGCAATCAATTGAGACATAGAAAGCGGTAGCGATCCGAGACCCGATTTGAGGTGGCGATCCTCTCTGCGTTGTCTGAGCTGAAGTACCGCAATGTCGTGCGGCTGTACGACCTCCAGGCACAATATGACAGCGATCCGAGCGGCTGTCGCCAATCCAGCTACATCGGAGGGCGAGGGCAATGAGTGAGAAAGTCGATCGGTATGAAAGATCGAGTGCTCATATCGTTGTGATGCTGTTCTTCTCATGTGCCCGAGCTCGTTGACTGAAATGCAGGGAGTTCTGTAGCAGAAGGTGGCTCGATTTGCTCTGTCGTCGCTCGGCTGTAGCGAAGAGGACCACATCATGTGATACCAACTCTGAAAGCGAGGCTCAGAATAACGAGACTATGCTGACCTGGGCCTCGGTCAGGGCCCCCGGGAAGCGTTGGACTTGGATATTCCTTGGACGTGCTTGCTTTGCAAAGCGGGCTCCAACCTTCTATGCGTCCTTCTGGTCAGTCCGGTCAGTACCTGAGTAAGTCGAGAGTCGCCCGTGCCGAGATGGTTTCGAGAATGGCATTCTCGTGAACGGTCAGCGCTAGTTTGGGCGTTTGAGTGTTGAGCGCGCGTGCCGCTGCATCGGACGGACTCCCCGTGCGCATGCAGGCGCAGGTTTCGTGTCAAGGGCTTCGAGAGTGGAAGGGCTCCCAGCCTCACGTGCCTGAGCAGTCTCTGACGAGCCCCGCGGGCTCGAGCATCCGATGCATCTACCTGGTGCTCGAATGCTGCGACTCGGACCTCCGGAAGTTGTTAGGCTGCTGGGGTCAAACTTTGGGCTTTTCGCGTGTGCCCACCAGCCCATCCAGAAACGATCCCTGGGCCTCGACCGGGGAAGGGTAGGAGCGCGCAGTGGAGCAACGACACGAGCATTCAGCGGGACACATGGGGAGATCCATTCTGAGGTCTTCTGAGGCCTCAGAAGCCAATTGAAAGCGAGAAGCCGAGAAGGCAACAGTTATTCAGCGCAAACGAATGTTTCTGTTGGATGATGGTGGCTTGTCGAAGGCATCCTTGGGCGGCGTCCCGTGGCCACTTGGAGCCGACTCGGTGATGTCTTTGGGCCTCTTGGAGACCCCTTGCATTCTTGCAGATCCGGTGCCGTCTCAGAGGGCCATCGTGGGCGTCCCTGGGCCGCCCCTGATAACTCCGATGCCATCTTGGACGCTCTAATTAGCTGCCCGCTGGGCGCGTGCAGACTCTGGGGGCGGGGAAGGGGTCGAGACACCCTCCTGGACAGCAGGCCGTCTAGCTCACGCCCACCCGCCCAGCCGGCACAGGAGCAGCATCCGAGTGCCAGCAGATCGCTCCGCAACGCCACGCACGCCATGCGCGCGCGACGGGTGCAGGGTAAGACCAGGCACCCTGCAGGCCCACGCGTGCCAGGTGCGGCAAAATCTCCACGTGCGCCGGCTGTGCCACGTGCTCCAGCTGCGCCAGGTGCGCCAGCCGTGGGGAACCAACAGGGACCCCAGGTGCCTGGGGCCCTGGCCCCAAGGAGTTCAGGATCTCGAATCCCCCTGAAGAGGAGTGCCGAGCATTCTGTGAGAAGGGCGGCTCTTCAAGGGAGCGCACAGCACCGGCACCGGTGGACAACTTGTGACATCTTGTAGAGTCGTGACACAGATGCGAGCTCAAAGAGAAGAGAACCCTGCGCGTGCTCCAGAGTTGGAGCCAAAGTGTATTTTTGTATTGTTTTTTTGACGGGGGTGGATGGCCTGCGCGCAGCAAGCAATATGCCAGCACCCCCGCCGTCCCTGTCACAACACAGATTTAGCTCCCGAGTATCCCTGCCAGGAGCGGCTTCAAATTTGTCGCGGGGCGCCCGCGCTCTCTCCAGATTTGGAAGCACAGTGCACGTTGCATTGCAAGTGGGCAGGGGGTTGTTCGCCTTCGCGCAGCAAGCCATGGCAGGGCACCCTCGCTCTCCCTCTCGAAATCCAATCCCAAGTGGTCGCGGGGCGCCCGCGTGTGCCCCGGAGTTGGAGGCACAGTGCACTCTGCACCGTAAGCTGGCAGGGACCGGTCGGCCTGGTGGCCCTTCGCGCAGCAAGCCACGTCAGGGCACCCTCGCCGCCCCTTTCCCAGATCCTATCCAGAGTCGTCGCGGGGCGCCCGCGTGCGCCCCAGCTGTGGAGGCAGAGGGGATCTCGCACTCCTCCTCTTCCTCCTCCTCCTCCTCCTCCTCCCTCCTCATTCCTCCTCCTCCTCCCCCTCCTCCTCCTCCTCCTCCTCCTCCTCCTCCTCCTCCTCCTCCTCCTCCTCCTCCTCCTCTCTGATGCCAGGGGACGGCGGGCCT